AAAAATTAATTTTGTGATCAGTGCTACCCAAACCACTACTACTACTATTTACACCATAGACTTCTATGCATACTTTTTTCCCGCGAGTTTTAATAGAATTTGTTGCCAATAAACATCAGTGGCGTAATAATAAACACAATGGCGTTGCGAACATAACTGCACCCGGGCCGCGACACTATATTGGCGCCCCCTTCCCCAACAAAAACAAATTTTGTTTTTCTTGAAAACCATTTGGCTCCCCTCTGCCAGTGGCGCCCGGGGCAAGCTGCCCCACCCTCTGCTGAGAGGTTTTCTTCGTTTGTGAGCAATAGGAAATTCTGAAGTTCCTCAAGGCCAGGCAGCCTCAAAGGATTAACCCATCGTGTATAGCCGCCTTAAGTTCTGCGTCAGCATTCCACTGACTTGTGAGATTTGGAAAGAATGGAAATCCACACGTGGATAACATAACTTGTGTAGATTCATTCGTTCTAATTACACTTGAATAATATCTGTTTAACGTTAACAATTCTTCGTCATCTCTTTGCAGTTACGTCTATAGATTAACGTTTGCCTGAGAAAATTTTACAATTTTAACGAAAATTGTCCCAGAAACGTTCCAAATTTAAAAGGAGACACTTACCTTTTAGAGGACCGACTTCAGCGTAACGATTTTCCGTCTTCTCTTCGCGAATCCGCATTTTCTCCTCTAACAAAACGGTGCCAACAATGGAGTCATCCAACAATGCATTCTAACAATTGATTACTTTCGAGAAATGCGTGACGCGTTATGCTATAATATTAATGCAGTTGAATTATATCACTTTAAAAATTAAAATTTTTCTATTTTTTTCTAATAAATAGAATTATAAAAATAAAATATACAGATGTCAAATGAAATCATTTATTCTAATGTTTTGGAAAGTTCAAACAGAAATTCGTATTACGTATTACACAACCACCCAAGAATTTTTTCCTGTATTGACTTTTTTTGGGTTCAGCGGCTCTGAAAATGTGGAAATTTGCAATAACTCGGAGGACAAAGTATTAGAATTTGGCAAGATTTTAATACTTTATCTTGTTGAATAAACGTGAAACATCAGTGAAAATAAAAGGCATTTTTAACCCACGAGTATAAGTTTTCATATTAGAAAGGCAACAATTAAAATACAATCGTAGATTTTAATGAGATGCCAATAACTTCACTATTTTAGAATAAAAACTGACCTCAGTAAGACATCACATGACCCAACTCGTAGTGTTATATACCCTTTAAATGCTCAACATAGACATTGGCGATTCAAAGCTATGGTTGCCAAGTAAAATTTTATTTTATTTTTCCCACATTTTTGTATTAATTTCATTACTGATTGCTTCATGAGGTAGAGGCTTATACAAATTGCATTAGAACAGGCCATTTGTATAAATGTAGTACTTAAGGTGACACCTATCACTGCAGAAGTCCCGAGAACAAGACTAAATGGGTCGTAAACTAATTTTTCGGGTTGTTGTCTGTTTGAATTTGTTGGACCCATAACACCCTTGGCCAAAAAAAACACCATTTAGTCCCCACAAGGCGAAAAAAGTTTAAAAAATTATATATATATAGCTTTAATCATTATCATTATTTATAAGCAAAAGAATAATTAGTATTAGTTTAAATATAATAGTAACTTATAGATGTTGTCGAAACCGTGTTGTATTTGCTTATTGTGTACAGGCACAATGAAGTGACGTTTTTCTCAACACTGGGCTAGTTGAATCTTTTATTTAGTTAGAACGTTTTTTCCATACATCAACGTTTCCTTCCAAAAAAGACGCAGAAAAGAAAATTAAATACTTAAGCTTTCCATATATAAAACATGTATATGAAAAAATTAATAAAGAACTTAGGAAAAATAACATACAGCTCGCACCAAATTATAAAAATTTAATATCTAGATTAAATAAGAAACAATGTTCAACAAATAATATAGAGGATAAAAATGAAATTAAAAATGTTGTCTATAAAATACCCTGTACTTGTAAGAATAACAGTTTTTACATAGGAGAAACAAAAAGAACATTAAAAACACGTGTTAAAGAACACATATCCGATTTAAAATATAGTCGTCTGAACTCCGCTTTTTATGATCATTGTGTAATCAATAATTGTAATATAAACCAATCTAATATACAAATTTTACATAAAGAAAAACGGATTTATGACAGAAAATTTAAAGAAAGTGTGGAAATATTACGAAACAAAAACCAAGGCTGTATAAATAAAAACTTAAGTGTTAAAATTCATGAAAATTGGTTAAAAATATTATAATGAAATGTACTAGATTAATACAATTTATAATAATAGAATGGTAAAAAAGAATTATTTAATGAAACAATGTTCTGTATTAACGTCATATGTAAATTAGATAATAAGAAAATATGCAGAGTAAACTTTAAGAGAAATAGTGATTTATTGTATAAAAAAATTAAAAATTTTTTTTTTATTTCCTTAGGGATTTTCAAATGTTTGTCGATTAATTTGTTAACTAGTATAACTTACGGCACATAGTGCTATATGCAAATTGTCGGATCAGTCGACGAGGTGGCAAAAAAAGACTTTTGAAATTTGTAAGTTTTAGTTTTTTAAAATCTGCAGAGTTTATCTTGTTTATGTGATAAAATGTAGAAAAGGTTTTGTTTTTAACCTGTATAGTTAAAATTGTGATAAAAAATTGATATTGAAAATGTTAAAAAAAACCTAAGTGTAGTCTGATTTCTACTGTATGTGCAGTGTCCATGCTGAAATGAGGTATGGTTTACAAAGAATTTATGTGAGTTTTTTGGTTTTTATTTGTGTCCTGTTAAATATTTTTATATATATTTAGTTAGCTGAAGAGGGGCTGATGCCCGAAACGTTGATGTATGGAAAAAACGTTCTAACTAAATAAAAGATTCAACTAGCCCAGTGTTGAGAAAAACGTCACTTCATTGTGCCTGTACACAATAAGTAACTTATAGAATACAATAATCTGTATGTTGCAATAATTTACGGAATTTTTATGTTTTCAATATTAATTAATGGCTATCAAAGAGAGCACATTCTAAGAAAACCATAAAATATTTTGTTGATCATGAATGAATTTTAATAGAATAGGCAAAAAAACTGTATGAAATACTGTATATCTCTTTTTAAATTCTCCTAAATTTCGCAAAATCTACGCAACTAAAATTCCCTAAATCTAGGGCAAATCTGTACATTTTCACGTCTGGTGTCGACTCCAAACATGAAAGTCGCGACCAGACATAAAAATCGTAAGAGAAAGAGAACCAGATTAACTATACCTGTATATGAACTTCCTATTTGTACCGCAAGTTACGTTATTTCAATTGAAAAATTTTGCCCTGAACGCAATTAGATACTCTATTTCTAATATGAAAAGTATGATGTATGGGGTAAAACATTACTAAACTCTAGGCAGACAAGTGCTATGTGATACCTCTCAGTGATGGCATAATGGCACGTCTATTTCGTGCTATATCATTGTCGCAGTAATTTGGTGACTATAATATACATTTTTTAAAAATTACATCCTTTTTTGTAAGATTTGTATTTAGTTAATTATTTTGTTTATTTTTCCAATAGATGGAAATGAATCGATTCATACAAATCCATTCTAAGACTTAAGATAGGGTTTAGGACATTATCTAAGTTGGAACTATTTGAACGTAAGTGCCGAATTTCATAGCAATTGGTCGAATAGCATAGGCGAGTATAGGGAACAAATAAAAAAAAAAAACAAACAAACGTCCATATACTAGTAGATGAGCCCGCTTTGCTCAGGCAAAAGTTACGATACCGAAGATTAAGATTATTACATTATAGCCAACCTTACCCGTTTTCACAGAATGCAAGAATTTGGTCTCCCTGTTTTCAGACTACTTAGAGAATTTTTGGAAGGGTCTAAAAATATGTTCGATTTCCTGCAAAAAACGCAAGCGCCTGTAAATCTTGTACGTCGTTTCTCTTAACACTTCCATTGTTACTTAACACTTCCATTGTTGAAGCCTTAATCCTGGGAATTTCGAAAAATCCCTTCTTAGAGTGCGTCTTCGTGACGTACCCTAACTTTGTACCAAATTTCAATTTTCAACTCCTAACCGTTTGGGCTCTGCGCTGATTATTATTATTATCAACCCGTCTCGATTATATATATAGATATATATACATTTTTTTAACAGTGTATTAATTTATGAAAGTCACGTTTAGAGCCCATGTGTAATGGTTTTAAAAGATTGTACGCATTTGAAATCTTGACCAACTCTTATAAAATAATGCAGTTATCATTAATTATAATTATAATTTAAGCTTTAAAAGTACATTTTTGTTTCGTCACACGTACTCGTGTTAATCTTTCGGTATCAGTTATTCTTTGAAACGTATCCGACACTGCAAATTAACTAGAACTTCCACGTCATGAATTAATTACGAAAGAATTAAATTTAAACATGCACTTGAACTTTGTACGTGGTGTTGATATTATGTTTTGTGTACTAACATACATTTACCTAGAATTATAGTAAAAGTGACATGACACATCCTTATTATTTCAGCTTCGTTGTAGTCGTTGTAAATATCAACTGCTACAAATCAATGTTAGACATAAATCGATTTTTACGCAAATCATTTATTATTTAAATGTATTTTAATTTGTAAATCAATTTAAAAGTAATCATGACAGTAAATAATACTTTATTATTAAGATGTTAACATTTGAATAATATCTGAGAAATTTATTGAAAAATCTATATGTGATGAATGGAAAATATTGTAAACAAGATTTTGTTTTTAGTATTAATATTTTAAATTATATTATCAGTTCAATTAATCTGTTCTTATGTAATCATTATCTTTAAGTGATCTTTAACTGGGTAAATATCACATGGTTACTGTGTTGTATAAGATACATTATCAATGTGAGAATGTTTTATATTTACTTTTTCTATATCTTTTGTTTGCATTTTTGTTTTTTACTTTTCCAAATCTATGGGAAAAAACATGCAAATATTTAACTTTTAAATCTGTAATTATATAGTTTTATCATATCTTCTGAATACTGATGCATTCGGTATTATAATGTGCTTCTTTACTTCGTTTATTGTTTGTAGATTATATTTCTACATGGGTCTTAACAGCAAAATTATTCGTGGAAAGTTTAGTCTATTTCTGCTTAATCAATACGTTTTATAATTAATTGTTTTAGTCCTCTCGAACAGAGGGTATTCCTACAGATTTTTAGGAACATTACACTAGAAGTATCTCTGCATACCTTACTCGGTTTAATGACATAGGAGGAAGTTTAAAATTTGACTAATAAGCTGATATATATGAAGTAATTGGTAATTGGTAATTCAGCGAAGCTGAAATAAAACACTTCGTAAGTGAGTAAGTGTAATATGTATTACATTTATTAGCTAAATATTTATCAAACTAAATCAATAAATGAAATATTATAAACGTAACTGTATGAATAGACGTTGGAATTAATTTCCGAATCTAATATCAAATCAAGATTACACCTGTGCATTCTACTATTGTGTGAAATTATACCAAACGATTCGTCACAATCTTACGAAATTCTAAACGATAGATATCGAGATAATCACTAAATAATGCTTTTACAATACACAAAACTATCTGAATTACTTGACAATTTTGTATGATTTTATAATAATGCACGTCTCCCCTCAAACTTGCGAGTTTTAAATTGCTATCGACAGAAGGTCAGAAACAGATCACACTTTCATTTTCGACTAAAGGCTAAACACAGTTTCGTTTTCCTAGAAAATATCCACCGCAACTAGTTTAAGGTTCAGAAGATTCAGAATTTTAATAATCTTATTGGTTTTTCATCTTATATAATTTTGCTACACTTATCAATATATCGAAGTATAAAGCAAAAATAAAGTCGAAAGGGTAACGAAGATTTTAAATCTAAGTTTATATCGGCAAAAGAGAAACTAGTAAACAGATAAGAACAGCTAATTCCTGTAATTTCTGTGACTGTTAGACCATTGCGATAGGAGTTGAATATATTTGAATTTTTGCCAAAGTTAATTCGTTGGACCAATTACACGATTAGTATTCAAAACATTTTCAACCAATCAGTTTTTAATTATAATTGCCTCACGTCATACGAAGCAAACAATATTTCGCTTTAATTACTGCTCGTTTGATTTGTTCAGAGGTTTGTATGACGACGTGTACCTAACATAAAGTTTTGTTTATGTTATCTTGAACATCGTTTTTAGTTAAATAATAGAGTTTGATATAGTGGATTGCTCAGTTTTATGGACTTTTTTTTACATAAGAAGATTCTAAATTTACTTGCAAAAGATATGAAGTAGCCTGTCTTAGGATAAAAAAAAATTGTACGAACATCATGAGTACGTGTGTTGAAGGTAAACCCAACCAAGAAATTGATTACAAATGGGATGAAAAAATATTAGAAGAATTTAGAAACGATGTACTCAGTAAGTATATAATTATATTATTATAAATTTGATAAATTTTTATGATCGCGATTGGATCACTTGAAATGAGCTTGTCTGAGAGAATGTCACTATGACATGAAAGATAACTGACGTTGTAAAATATTATATTAATTAATAATATATAGTCTTGCCCCACTCTCATCTATAGCGTTTAGCAAAATTAAGACGTGTCTTTATGTAATTTGGTAGGTATAGGCTTTACGGTTTTGAAATTGTTAAATTTTAGACATCTGCGAATAGTCAAAGTACTCGCTTCTATTTCCAAGCCATGTTTCAATTTTCTCTTTAGTTGTGACGATGTATCGCAACTTCCAGTCGTTATCAAACGTTTTTGTTTTGCGCTCAATGTTTTCTTCCTCAGCTATTTAATTTTCGCTATATGGCAGCGCATTATTTTTTATTCTTGTTACACCCCAACGTCCAAACTAACGTCTAATACTTTCTCAACAGTTTTCTCAACAGAAAAACAATTTTTCAGCCAGTGCACAATACGAAGTTTCTTCTAACTGGAAAGCTTCTTCGTGATAACCCGTATCAAGCAGCAGCTCATTTGCATATAATATCTCGTTAATATACATGAAATTAAATTGTTCAACGTTGATGTTATAAGAAATGCATCTATTTGTCAAAATCCTCTCAATGCACCTTTCAAGCAGAATTTATATACTGTAGATATTTTAAAAGTGTGAAAATTGTTATAATTTTTTGCTATTATAGAAATCTTATAACTAATTTAGTCTATTTTTTTTCTACTTTCGCATATCGAATAAATATTTTTATTTTTTTTAACGTGATGCTATATATATATATATATATTACAATTTACAGAGTTATCGCTGTTCCATCTCCAGTTGTGTCTAGTACAATATCGATCTTTGGTACCAGACACAACTAGAGATGGAACGGCGATAACTCTGTAATCTGTTTGACTCTATCGATATTTATGATCTGTTAAGCGATATACTCTTCATAAATTATGCCTTTTGACTCATCCGCCATTGCCGCAAAAAAGACAGTCACAACTGCCACCAGAGTATGTCCCTGATCAAACTAGCTTCGTATTTGTGTTTTGTATGAGTGGAGTAGCAAATTTTACGTTTGAGAGAAAATATATTAATACACTGTTGTTTTCCTCTTTTTAATGATAAATCAATGCAAGGCGAATTCACGGGAATAACAAATCCGTTCCAAAATTTATATTACTTACTTAAACCTATTTTCTGATATTTTCTAAATTTATTGTTAGTTGAGTACAAAGAATTGAATACTATTTAAAAAATGATGTATAAGACTATTGTATTATCACGAATTCAAATTATTAAATTAACTTTAGTACAATCTTATCTGCTGAGGATGTAAAGGATATAATAAAAATGCAGATAATAGAAAATCAAATTACTATATTAAATCAAATGACGAAATAACATGGAGAAAGTACACAGACTAAAATTGTCATGTGTACGGTATAATGTATTTGATACATAAGGAATTTTCTACATATTCTGTATAGAAAAACTAATGGAACAAATTCCAAAAAATTTGATATGCATATTTTCCTAACAGCTAATTAAGTATAAATGACACAAGTAAATAGAGTTACGGAATAACTTGAGCGAAGATGAGTTACAGTTCAAGATTTTCTGGTCAGCTCCAGTGGCGCAGTCGGATTTAATTTTAGGTAGTTGGGTCGAACAGATAAAAAATTTCTTGATTACATTTGAATAAAATTCCTATTGTATGTGACCGCTAATTCATAAGAACTGTAGGAATACCAGACACGACACAATATTGATACTTATCTTAATATTAAACGTAGCAGAATAAATATAAATTTAGATTAAAAGGATTGTAACTCTAGTGTTAGAGGCAATTTGAAATGCACTTATTTTAAAAAGCCAGATTTCGAAAGAAAAAAAGAGATTTTATGTTTATTTTGACCCTAAAATTTACACTAGACAGAACAATTATTTAGGCTGTAGGAGAGTTTCATTTTCCTAGACAGTTGGTTTTTTTATGCTTTTACGTAATTAATTTTTTAATATGAAAAGGAAAAATTAAGCTTTGCTACATAATGAACAACCTTTTGCTTATTCTATCAGTGAAATATTGGATCGGAGTCTGTATAGTATATTAGATTTAATTTTTTGTCTTTATGTTATAAATTATAAGAAATGTAATTTTATCTTATTTTACCTGAACAAAAGATGAACAAGACCTAAACTGTAGAACTGACGATATATTTCTTCTAAGTTTTCTACGAGCAAGAAAATGCGACAGAGAAAGAGCATTGAAATTGTTGAAGAATTATTACTCGACCAGAAAGAAATATCCAAATGTTTTCAAGAATCTAAGACCATCAGCGCTAGAAGAATTTCTGCAGATGAATATAATTGCATCTACAAGGTTCGACAACGACAAGGTTTTGGGTTTAGGATTAGTTAGTAAGTCAGTTACTTTTGTTATATTTGTAAAATGATTTAAGATAATTTTATTTACAAATGTATTTTTGTTCAGGCCGTTGCGATCCAACGAAAGTGAGATTAATTGATATAATAAGATGCATAACACTTTTGCTTGATTTAGAACTAAATGATCATCCGATTCAAGTAAATGGATATACTGTATTAATAGATTTTAATACAATATCTTGGAAACACATGATTCAGTTTACTCCATCAATGATACAATTAAGTGTTTCGTGCATACAAGTAAGTATGAACTTTATTAACCACAACAGTAAAACTAAGTTAAGGTGTGCTTTTCCCCATTCTTCGGTTTCGTCATTTTGCCTGTAAGACACCTGTTAAATAGTTTTGCATAATATTAAAGAACGTAAAAATAAGGAAATAATATTTAGAATGGCCTAAAATTTAAAGGCTGACATACAATCAGTTCCTCAAAACCAATTACAGTAGTAAGTCGCTGACGATTTGTATAATAAAATATAAATAAATTATGGTAATATTTTGAAATCAATAAAAATGTAAACCATGTTTTTATATTCATTTAATACTCGTCGATATATTACAATTCCTGTTTGAAAGTAATAACATAGAGTACTAAATCCTATCGGGTGGATAGTCAAATGAAATACGCCAGTGATTTTTAATTTATTTTCAGCCACAGCTCTCCAAGTTCTATAAACTTATAATCCTATCCAACGCCTCCAACCGTACCCGTACGTCCCCATCTTCATTCATGAGAGAGGCTTGGAAATATTCTGAGAAACTTCTGTACCACCCTCGCCTTTACCGTATATTCTTGTCAAAATCTGAAAACCATTAAATGCAATGTTTGTTTTTACCCGTTTTCAACGGAAGAAAGGAAAACTTTGTTAATGATTCGAACACTAGCCTGTGGTCATTCATCGGTCCTTCCTCTAAGGATCCCTGCCCTCCTCTTGTTTCTTTTCTTTCCTTAGATTTACTTACTGCCCTCTGATAACCAAAAACATAATTACAGTAGAGTGTCGATTATCCGAAAATCAATCATCCGAAACGTCAATCATCCAAAAGAATTCCACTCGGCATATTTAAATTTTCGCCAGTGCTGTAGCGCTGCAATCTTTGGCTGTCTTCGGCTACTCAAATATTTTACGTTTTTGATACTAAATTAACTTCTGAAGTATAATTTTTTATTGTTTTTATATTTTTCAATATATTTATTTTGTTCGTACAAAATAAAAAAATAATTTTTAACGATACAATAGTCTTTGTTAGTCTTAACATCGACGAAAATTAAACGCGAAGCGACACGCAACGGAGAAAAATGTCAAGATGGGATAAATTAATATATTTTTTCGTACATAATCGGTTATCCGAAACATCGATCTTCCGAACAACCCCAGTTCCCAATTGATTAAGATAATCGACGCTCTACTGTATTTTATTCGTTTCCCTGGCTACTTGTCTTTTTATCTTATTTCTGAGAGATAGGTGACATTTTGGTCTCATAATCTTTTTTTCAGATCGTTCTCTACCTGCTCGACAAATCTGTTGTAATTACGAAGTAAGATACTTTTGACTGATGCGTATTTGACAGTTCTTGTTAAAAACAAATGTATCAGAAATTGAAATTACCTGAAAAAAAATTATACAGAAGATTACTGAAGGAATTCCAAAAAAAATTTATCTACATCCGTCCATCAATATTTAGTGAAGACAATCACGATATTTTTGAACACAAGCGTAAATGTGCAGTGTTAGAATAATGTAAGAATAATAATATACAGGGACTCAGTATACAGTAGGCTTGCATGCAATTTGTATGCAGGAAAAGCTTATTGTATAAATTGTATGAAACGTAAACAACACTTTTATTGAAATACTTTTATAAATATAACATCACATACATACATACAAAGGATAAGGCTTTACTCGGTGGTGTAGCCCTAGAAAAAGTAGGAGAGGGATGAGGGGGAAGAAATGGAGGATAGAGGGATTGGATGGGGGATAAGGGATAGGGAATAAGGAATGAAAGATTAAGGGAAGAGAGGGAACCGTTGGCACCTGTCGGGAACCGTTAGTCCGGTGGAGAAGTCACAATAAGATACTAAAGGTACAATCAGTACAAAGAAAGGGAAATATTAATAAAAGGTAGTGCCTTCTTGACGCAGACAAAAGGGTTGAGGACGGTTGAATGGATACCGTTACAAACAGCACAGGAAAGTGCACTCGAGAGATAAAGTCCAATGTGAAGAGCAAGGTCCTTGGAGTGGGTCTTCATGACTGATCCTGATGGAAGAGTTGGTTCTGGTGGTAGAAGGTCTTGGTGATCGAACGTCGAGTCGGTGGATGGTTGGTGATATACCTCAATCCTGAAGGTTGATACTGGTTGTGCTGCTTGATGGTGATGCTGAAATGTGGGTCTGAGGAAAAGATGAGGGCTGGTAGTCAGCTAGGTTTAGAGTGTTGACAAATTTGAGAAAAGACTTGAATATGTCTTTGTTCTCAACAAAAGCACTGAGATGGCAGGGCCAGTTGTGTCCGTTTTTTGTGGTTTTGTTCCTCAGTTGCTGGCGGTGCTGAGCGTGCTTAGTACAGGTAAAAATGAGGTGGAATGGATCGTC